CAGTTTCCTGTCAGCTAATTTCTAAGTAATAATCTGCAAAAAACCTCAATCGTTTTCAGGTGCCTAAGGAGCTCCTGGAATCACAGTTAAAGTTGCCCCCCAATCTGAAATGGCCCCTGGGCTCCTACCATGGCCTGATTCAGGCCTGGCCGGGGGTGGGACCGCGGGGGGAGAGGAGGAGCAGGGGGCAGGGCCCCATGGCGAGTGGAGCTAAGGCCCACCTCAGCCCCGCACTGGGAAGACGCTTCCTCTGCCTGACCTGTGCTTGTCTGTCTGGTTGTTTGAAGGACCGTGTGCCGTGGCTGGCAGTTGGAAGCTGTGAGCTTCAAAGGAAGATTTGAAAGCTAGAAGCCTCTGGTAATTGGCTGAGCCTTAATCGGTGGGTGGGGCTATCGAGAAGGCCAGGGCTTTATAAAGCAGTGCACAAGCCACCAGGGAGCTTTGTGAACATGGGCTGTTAACAGGGAGTTTGGAAGGGGAGTGGGAAGGGGACAAGGTTCACTTGCTGTTCTTTAAAACCTGTATCCTAAACTACATTCAGAACTTCTTGATTTAAACAAAACCCTTTCATTAACTAGGTAGCTGCAGGAGACAATGCAGGCAGAAGCCCAGCAGCAGAGTGGGAGCTACCCAGTTTATTGCGCTGAGTGCAGAATGTCTGATTACCTGCCCTGTGGGCGGGTAGCGTATGTGTGCATTCGGTGCAAGGAGCTCCTGGCCCTCAGAGACCACGTACGGGCTTTGGAGGCCAGGATGGCGGAACTGGAGGAGCTAAGGGAGGCAGAGAGGTATGTTGATGAGGCTTTCCGGGACACTGTAGAATTGTCCCACCTCCGGTCAGACAGCCCCTGCGCTGTTGAGGAGGATGAAAGACCCAGGGAAGCAGAGGGAAACCTTCCCATAGTTGGGACCCTCCTTCCAGATGATGCTGGGGTTACCTCTCGCACTGAGGTTACCTCTCTGGGGGAGGGAACTCCAGTTGCTAGGAAAAGGCGGGTATTAGTATTGGGAGATTCGATCATTAGAAACGTAGATAGCTGGGTTTGTGATGACCGGGAGACCCGTATGGTGACTTGCCTGCCTGGTGCGAAGGTTGCGGATCTCTCGAGGCATCTAGACAGACTTGTGTGTAGTGCTGGGGAGGAGCCGGTGGTCGTGGTACATGTAGGTACCAATGACATAGCGAAGGGTAGGAGAGATGTCCTGGAGGCCAGATTTAGGCTTCTAGGGAAGAGACTGAAATCCAGGACCTCTATGGTGGCATTCTCAGCAATGCTCCCAGTTCCACGCGCAGGGCCAGGTAGGCAGGCAGAGCTTCAGAGTCTCAATGCGTGGATGAGATGATGGTGTAGAGAGGAGGGGTTTACATTCATTAGGAACTGGGGAAACTTTTGGGATGGGGGGAGCCTATACAGGAGATATGGGCTCCACCTAAACCAAAGTGGAACCAGACGGCTGGCACTAAACATTAAAAAGGTTACAGAGCAGATTTCAAAAATAGGAGATGGGGAGTGATGAGCTGCCAAAATATTAACAACCGGTTCCCTCCTCCTCACCCCACGAGGGGGTTGTGCCCCCCATCCCCCAGGACTCCTGCCCCATCCACCCCCCTTCCCTGTCCCCTAAC